TCACATCAGTGTCTGCCACATGTCCCAGAAGCTCCATCCAAAGGTCCAGATCTAGAGTCTACCATGGACATCAGTCAACACTTCCACACGCATCATTGAAAAGTCAAAAAGGCCAAGGATCAGTGGGCCAAAAAATGCTTCCAGTATACCTCCAATTGGGCCAGAAAACCCCCCCTGTTTGTATATTTATTTTCTTTCTAATTTTCCTCTTTAATTTTAATTCTTTTTTAATTTGTTTTAAATTCACAGAAATAATTCTTTATAACATAAAAATCAGAAAATCATAAAACAATAAAAATATGTTTTGTTAATACTAATTTCTATTAATTTTGTAAATAAGTTTTAATAACTAAATTAGTTTAATTTTAGGCTTAATTTTAATATATTTTTTTAATAAACTAAAAAATGTAGAAATTAGGGTTTTAATACTTTTATTCTTTTTCTTTTCTTTTACCATTATTAAGTATTAATTATTTTTGTAAATAAATATGCCATGTAAATAATTAATGTAAATTAGGTTACAACTTAAACATTTTTTTAATAAATTAAAAACAATTTAGAACTAGGGTTTTAATTAATTTTTCAAATTCCAATTAACTTTCTCATTAATTTTCATAAATCCAAAAACAAAAAAAAACAAAAAATTCTTTTTCTCATTTAATAATTTAATCACTAATTCCAATCTAATTTCCTTAAAGGGTCCAACGCCTTCGCATTCTCGATTTTTATTTCTTTTCGTACATTTACTTTTATCTCCTTTTTAAATTTCATGTAATTGCCCCAAAGCTCTGTAATAGATTAATTAGGATATTTATCTTTCCGCATTTTATTTTATTCAAATCGGGTCTTGGTTTAATTTGGCGATGTGGACCCGCGCCTTTGTAATAGCGTATGACTTTTATCTTCCCGCACCTTTTAACTGTTAATAACCACATGAAAGAATGAATGCCAAAAATAAAAACAATGCGTAGATCACCAATGCATGAACAAACAAAATATAACTGACACACAATTCACACACCACCCCTAGGGTACGTCTCACTGTTGCCTCGCCCCTCGAAACGTGGTCGTCGAGTAGAGGACGTTTTAGTAAGTCCTCATGTCCATGAACATGGCATGGGGGTAGCTTCTAAGGTGTCTTCCTATTGCTCTGGTAACCACATTGTCCCGAATCCTCGAATTGACCCGAACACCTCCAACGGTGGTGCTACCTACCCCTCAATGGTGGGATGACACTACCTTAAGGACATTTACACAGACGAATTCCTTAGGGTAGGTAGACGACTCATAGATACTTGCTCTAATTCAAAACAAATCAAAAACTTCTTTTCACACCGACACTTTGCAAAAAGCTTTCAAAAAACAACTTTTCAAACACTCTTGAGGATTGATACAAGAGTCGAACTGAAATTTTAAACGAAACTTTTTCAAACCCACTCACAATTGAAAAGCAAAAAAACATTTTTTGAAAACACAAATGAGCAAGTATCTAAGAGCCCATGGATAACCATGGATAGAAAGGGTGCTAACACCTTCCCTTTCTATAAATCTACCTCCCGAACCGAGAACTAATCTCAATAAGGAATTTTTCTGTGCTTTTGTCATGTCCCTATTGGAGAAAATAAAAGACGGTGGCGACTCTTGCTTCCGCGACATTTCGCGAACCAGCGTTAAACAGTCAGTTCCAGATCCACCGATCACACATTTCAAAATACAAGTAATATATTTTTTAATAACGAGCTTTGAGTGAAAAGTATCTTTCAATTTTGAATAAAATAAAACAAAAAATAACGACAAATGGGGAAAAGCACAATATTAAAAGAAATTTGTCATTACCCAACAGATAATACTCATAGGCTAATGCACGTGTCATCATACATTTAATATATGTGGAAAATAAGTGGACAAATGTTAAAAGAAGTTTAAAAGATTTTCCACTTATGTGCTATCAGAGACACGTCATCAGATTCTGAGCATCAGAGACTGAGATGAATCAGAGGCTACTATTCATCAGAAGGTAACTTAAAGCCTCTAAACATAGTGACTTTTAATCACCATCAAACTATGATCCTCTATTCAGAAGCAAACACTATCCTTTTATAAAATGTATGTTCAGATTCTTTTAATAAAATCAAATATTTCAATTGCAAGAGGCTTGATAAATATATCATCCCATTGATGATCAATATCAATGAAATGTATATCTATTACACCTTTCTAAACATAATCTCTAATAAAATAATATTTTATTTCTATGTGTTTCGTTCTAGAATGTTGAGTAAAATTCTTTGTTAAATAGATATCAACAATATTATCATAGAAATTAGAATACTTCTTCCACATATTTGATAGTCTTCCAACTGATATTTCATCTAGAGTAGTTGTGTGTAACAAGTTGCAGCTGAGATGTATTTTGCTTCTGTTGTAGACAAAGCAATAGTTTATTGTCTTTTACTAGCCCATGATATTAGATTTTCACCTATGAATTGATAGTTTCTACTAGTAGATTTTCTCTCAATTCTATCTCCAACATAGTCAACATCACACAATCCAACTAGCTTGTAATCTATTTATTTTTTATAAAACAATCCCAAATTAGTTGCTCCTTTCAGATACCTGAAGATTCTCTTAACAGTAGTTAAGTGAGTATCTCTAGGATGTGATTGGAATATTTCACACAAAGAGACGTTGTATAAAATATTAAGTCTAGAAATTTTTAAGTAAAGTAAAGAATCAATCATACCTCTATACAGCTTCTGACAGACTTTAGTGCTACTTTTCTCTTTGCTCAGATTGCAAGTAGGATACATAATAGCAACCATGATCTTGCAATATTCTAGTTTGAATTTCTTCATAAGCTCCAATGTATACTTTGTTTGATGAACATATTATCCTCCATTGAGGATAATAATGATTCCTATCAATTTCTATCCACTGAAACACAAAGTTCCCTTTCCTCAGAATCAGAACCTAAAGACAATCATATCTCAGACTCTTCATGGCAAACATAAAAGATTTATCATTTTATGAAGAATCCCTAGTTACAGAACGAACTAAACCAATTGGTGGTTTGTGGTTCACACTTGACGATGTACCACCTAATCGTTGGAGAAAGAGACTTCATGAATTCAGAGCATGGATTGACACTTAACTAATGAAGCCATGTGCAGATCCCTACAAGTTCATTGAAGAATTATGTTGTAGAATGACCGATACCATAAAGGAATTGTATCAAAATATTGGAGCTTTTAAACAAGATGAGATGCATCGCTTGGAAACCATAACTCGCGTCCTTGGAGTTCTTCACCATGTGTTTATTGGTGATGTAGACATGCATGATAGCAAAACTAGAAGTGAGTTATTTGAAATGAAATGTCGTTCTTTTAAGGCAAAAGACTTGGATAAACACTATCACTGGATGGTTCAAAGATTCTATGTCCTAAACATATTCAATCATCTCAGTCTGAAGAACACATATGTCGCCTCTCTATCCCAAGAACTCCAAACAGAAACCCATAAGATGATAACTACTGCATTAAAGGATATTCCCTCTATGAGCCTTGGCCAGATTCACCAAATAACTCTAGAAGTCCTAGAAAAGCTATGCAGATTAGATCAACAATTTGCAGAAGTGGTAAATCAAAAGTCCAAATTCAACAAAGCTTGCAAGAAATCTTATATATAGATTAAATGCAAAGATAAGAAGTGCAGTTGTACTAGAAAATCTCATCGGCAAAGGGAACAAGCCTCACAAGATCTTTAAAGGAAAAAGGAAGAAAGGAGTAAATTTCTTCAAAAAGAAATATTTTAGAGCAAAGGAGAAGAGCCAGGGATGTTTCATTATGGGGAAAAATGACACTATTCCAAAAAATGTCCAAACAATATCCACAAGGAGGCCAAACTGGTTAACTCCCTCCAACCTACAAAAGAAGACCTGGAGTTCAAATACCCTGAACAAACCTCAGTTGATGAAGAAATAATTTTTACTGTTTGAGACTCCTCGTCTGAGAATGCATCACTTTTTAAGTCAGAGGAAGAATATATTCTCTTTCACGCCTACCAGGAAATAGGAAGTTATCTTCCTACACCTCCTCTCCCATGTGTCGAAATTCATATTCTTGCTTCAAAGTTTACTCGTCCAAAAAAGATCATAGCATATATGGACATTAGAGCACAAATAATTTTTTAAACCACTTTATATCTTTTTAACTTTTGTTTCATCATTATCGAAAAAATATAAATAAATAAAAATGCATTAAAACATAAAGAAACAGAAAATACAATAAATTTTATTTTATAAATAGAGTTATTGGTTATAAAAGAAACACTATAAAAGAAACTGTTGGTGCTAGGTAATGAAGTGGAAGAAGAAGAATGAACAAGAATGATAACAAGACTACTGTTGTATATAAAATAGAGGAGATAAAAATGGGTACAATATTGATAGACTAGTATAGCATATTTATACTAAATATTGAAAATGGCAAAAGGCCCTATTAAAGATAAGCATTGGGAATTGTAGATGTTAACTAAATTATCTTTCCAATACCATCCATTAATTTAGATATTCTATCAGAAGCTAACAACATCAATTCCATCTCTCAAGCGAAGAAATTGATCTGTCTTAACTGCATTCGTCAGAAGATCTGCTAGCTGTTTCTGAATGTTGCAGTGCAGAACTTCTAACACTCCTTTCTGCACTTGACTTCTGAGAAAATAATACTTCGTCTCAATGTACTTGCTTCTTCCATGTAGCACTGGATTCTTGACAAGATCAATCGCTCTGATACCAATTTATTGGTGCAAGATAATGAAGTGAGAGAAGAAGAATGAACAAGAATGATAACAAGACTACTCTTGTATATAAAATAGAGGAGATAAAAATGAATACAATATTGATAAACTAATATAATATATTTATACTAAATATTAAAAATGTGATATTAACTAAAAGGCCGAATAAATAAACACATCCTTTCAATTTCAGTCCACTTCCAAACTCAACATGCGTCTATCCAAGATTTTGAATGAGTTGGATTTAGGAAAGTCATCTCAACACATTTTTCATGCAACATTACTCTTGTTCTTGTCGATGATCTCCAAGAACAAAAAAGTTCATCATATCTAGGTGCATCTTCACTTTTAAACATGCTTCGACCCTTTTTCTTTGGTGGAACAAAAATCATCCTCTCCAAAATAGTTGCTCTTTGCAAAATTGCTTTTACTAACTCAAGTTCAGCAGGTAGAAATTTAAAATTTCTAAGCACTACAACATTGAGTTGAGTAAATTTGTGATCGCAATTTTCAAGCAAGTGTTTTTGATGCATTTCCCAATATACTCCCAAGTCAAATTGATAACCATCAAGCTGCACATATAGATTAAACACAGATCAAGACCAAAATATAACATAGATTACTTAAGAGATTTAAAACATGTTGAAAAATGATTTTAGATCTATATCAATCAACCATTAATTAATAGTTATTGTTAACTAAAGAGTTGAAAATAAATTAATATTACTTACATCAATGAATAATTTCGTCAAAGATGGACAATTTTTAAGAAACATGGTTATATCATATGGATTACAAAACATTCCTCCTTCCATCAATAATTGAAGCTCTCTCAGATTCATAAAACAATATTGTGCTTCTCGAAATACTCCATCACGAATCCTTGCTGATATACCCTAAAATAAATAAAATATATATAGTGAATCATTTCATGAAATAAATAAAATAGATATATAGCCGGCTATAATTTGTACGTAAATAAATAAAATAGAAATGTAAAAACAATTATAATAAACCTATATTTATATATATACCTCAATGAGTAGAGGTGTAATGGTAAGAATGGAGACATGAGAGATATCATTCACTAGAGCTTCGAGCTTGCTAGATTGAATGTAGTTTTTTGAAGGTATAAAGATCAAGGAAGCCTCGTATAATTGCATGCCTTGTGCGATTCGAACTATTAAAAAATTTCCACTATAAAAAAATGAGTGAAGAGTTGGTGAATCAATTTGAATCTCTTTCAAGTCTTGACATCGGACAATTTTCAATTTTTTGAAATATTTATGTTCTCTAGCAATTAAGTTTAATTTCTCAATTGTAAAGCATTGAACCAAATCAACAACTTGAAGCATTTTACAATGCTTAATCAATATATCGAACACATCTTCAGTGATGTGGAGGTTATGTAAACAAAGTGTTTTCAAAAATTTCAAACCATTCGGAATTTGTGGTAACTCGATTACACACCTAGCTAGTTTAAGTGTTTTTAACTTATGTAGTGCGTTAAAAACACTAAATTCAACTGTAAAATTAGATTGGAAAAGATGTAAATCAAGTTCTTCTAAATTCTTTTGAGTGCATATTTGTAACCATTTCTTAAGCAAAACTTCAATCCCGTAAGGATTGATGCGTAGCTGAAATGTTTCAATTTCAGCACCTTCATGTGAATTGAACACATGATCAACAATTTTTGCCAAATTTTGATCATTGTATTTGAAATATAACTCTATATCGAATACGAGCCGGCGATTATGCCGCCATGATCTTTTATATTTAGAAGCCACAGTTGATGAAGTTGCAATTGCATCTTTGATCGGTAAAAATGTAAAAATATTCTGAATGATATCCTCAGGAAGATTTACATGTGAATGACTATGATTTTTCAAAATAACCATTTTTGAATAAACAAAAGAAAACAATGAAGAAATAAATAAGAATAAGGCTGGATTTCAAACTTGTACAGATGAACATAAAATGTGATGAATAAGAAAAATGTAGAATTATTGAATTTTAAAGACCAAAATTCAGTAATACAGACAAAAAAAAGTTAATTTAAAAAACGAGTGAATGCATTTCTTTTGACTACTTTGCAAATTTTAAATCAGATTTAAATTAAAAAATAATATTCACATTAAATTAATAAAAAATGAAACAATAAAAAAGTATTAAGTTGGATTCTGAGTGTTCATTTCACATGTATTGCTTGTTAGTTACTCAATTTTTGTATAACTTTTTATTAGATTTTTATAAAATTAAAGGATGATGATTATTCTTTTTCAAAAAAAAAAAAAAGATGATGACTATTTAATATTTTTTATTTTAAAAGTACTAGTTAATATCTAGCTAGTCTGGTCAAAATAAAATATAATATCTTACTTTTTTTTTTATTGTTATATTATGTTCTATTTTTTTATATATATTTAATTAATAAATGAATTAAATATATTTTTATCTTTACAAAATTATTATTTGAATTATAGTCTCTATAAAAAAAATTATGTTTTAGTTTTTTCAAAATTATTTATGCATGTAGTTTTAGTCTTTGTAGAAGGACTAAAACATCACGCGTAAATAATTTTATAGGAACTAAAACATAATATTTTTTATAAAGATTAAAAGTTAAATTTGAACACAAAAACATACCATTAATAAATTTATAATAATTTCTTTTCAATAAAATACATTATTTTCTTTTCAACTTTAACACATAAATTCAATGAATCTGTCCAATAATATATTTATTTTCTAAAATATATTATAAAAAATTAACTTATCTAGAAACAGTTGCTAGATACATAAAATTGAAATTCAAATCTATTTTAAAATTTTAATATATATAATATACTAAAATAAGTTAGATAGTATAAATATTGAAATTAAGAATCATTAGATGTATTTAAATAATCTTCTTCAAAATATAATTGCTTAATACATTTAATACTTAAAGTCCAAAAAATAAATGTTAAATACATCTATTTAAAAATAAATACTATCATCAATTTATAATACCACTATTGAATGCCGAAATATAATAGTATATCTTTTTGTTTAGATATATTTTTGGTCTCTTTAGTTTTGAGTATTTTAAATAATTGGTCTCTCTATTACAAAATCAGAGATTTTGTTCCCTAAATTTTAATGGTTTTTGAATTTTTGTGGTCCTCCTTCTTTTTTACATACACGGCATTTATAATTGAAATTAAAAAATAATAATTTTTGATGATATATTATTGATGATTAGGATAATTTATTAATAATATTTTTTATAGAATAAATTAATAATAAATTATTTTAATTAATAATTTTAGAAATTAATTAAATTATAATTTTGTAAAGACTTTATGATTAAGCTCATTTCAATTCAATACAATCAGTCTACACCCAATTGATAACAAATCTTGTATATTTTTCCGCATTAAAATTTTAGACAATATTTTAAGTGTTTATAATAATGTTTTAAAACTCAGACCGATGATCGATTCGGTAAAGTTATTGGGTTACTGGATTATTAGTCGGACCAGTGGATTACTGGTCGGATCAGTGGGTCACTGGTCAGACCGCATGGTTTTTGACCCGATTTCTATAAAAAATATATTCATTACCTGAAATTTGTAACTATAATAATATAGAAAATTATAAATTCAAATAATTTAGAATACAAAACTATATTACAAAAATTATAAATTTAAAACATATTCAGCGGGTGATGCCATATCTAATATCAATCAAAATTTAAAAATACAAACTATATTACAAAAATATTAACAAAACACAATTCTAAACAAAAAATATTGAATTTATAAAAACATTATAAGAAACATTAAATATGTAGCATATCTAAATCCAAAATATATAAATATGTTGTTGTATATTACATATAGGCTACCAAGCATCGTTACTGTGCATCACCATATATAATAAAAAAATAGAAACTTTGTTTTCCAGCCTTTGCTATATATTTTAGATTAATAAAATCCTGAAACTTTTCTTTGTTAGATAATTTAAATTAATAAAAAACAGAAAACCTTGTCTTACTATATAATTTAGATTACATAGTTTTAAACCCAATTTCTATCTCCATAATATATACAACGACTATTACAGGAATATATATCTATCCCAATTTTTATCTCCAATATACAACAACTTCATTACCAGTCTATAATAAGTTAATTCATAAAAGTATAAAACTGTTTCATTCATACAAATTCTATCTCAATTTGTTAAACTAAAAGACCCAATTTTATAGAAAATGATCAAATTTAATCATTTATTTTCTATATCAATTAATCAACAAAATAAAACAATAATATTCATATTTAAAAACATCAATGCAAATTAGACCAAGTAAAAAAGAAATAACCTGTTTTTGATGTTTTGATGAAATTTTTGACGGCAAACAAGGAATATCAAATAACAGTAGCAAGTGGGAGTTTTTGTTGGTAGAGAAAATTGAGAATATGACTTCAATTAGAAAAATAAAAGACAGAATAAAAAAGAAAACCTTTCAAATGCCTAGGTTTGAGAAACGAGGAGGCATAGCGTTTATGTTAATTTTTTTTTCAAAAGCCCTAAAAAATAAAATAAATAGTCAAACTCGTCGGTTCAGTAAAAACCGCCGGTTCACTAGTTTAACCGGTGATTCGGCCGGTTCACACCGGTTTCATCCGGTCTAAATGTAATTCCGGTCTTATCCCTTAATCGGACCGCCTGACCCACCGATTCTCGATCAGACCGGTCCGATCGGCCGAGTCGGGTTGGGTTTTAAAACACTGGTTTATAAGACATGTATGTACAAAGTTTGTTGTGAATTGGATGTAGGTACGTGATATTGAATTTTATTAAGCACATAGAACCATATTCTCCCTTCTTTTTTATGATGAGAAATCACCTCTCTAAGAGGTGGCTTAGAAGAAAGTTAAGATGGTGAGAAAATAAAGTTTTAACTCCCCTTAAAAGATATTGCGAGTATATTCCCCCAACGAGTATACTTCTTACTCTTTTCCTTAATAAAAAAATGAAAGGAAAAAATCAAGAAAAGGAATAGGACATGCACATAGAATATAACAATAAGATTATCAATTTTTGAGTATCACTACCCTAAAATGGAGGTATAACGGTGACCCCAAGGAAGACAAGTGATCATCAATGTTAATTACTCTAAACATACAAATACAATAGAATCCAAGAGTGGTCCTCAAACATCCAGGAGGCATGGGATATTCTTGTCAAGTACTTTGAAGGAGGTGAGAAAGTCAAGGTTGTCAAGTTGCAAGCCTTGCAACGACAATATGAATTGTTGTCGATGGGAGAAGACGATAAGATTGCATGATATGTGTCAAAGGTGCAGAAACTCGTCTATCTCATGAAAGGTTGTGGTGAAACCCTAACTGATAAAATGATAATTTACAAGGTAATGTGTACGTTGACCTCTCACTTTGATCACATTATCGTAGCTATTCAAGAATCAAACAGTCTTGAAACCCTAAAATTGGAAGATTTGGTTGGCTCGTTGGAGGCGCGTGAGATCAGGATTGTCGAAAGAAAAGAAATTCGAGACTCGATACAAGCACTGCAGGATTAGTCGTGAAAAAATAATGGTGGTTCCAACAAATTCAAAGGCAAAATCGACAAGACTCTGGGCAAGAAGTCTTGGTCGAATTCTCACAAGAATAAGGTCAATGACAGGGCTTATGAATCCTCGAAAAGATGAGAAAGAAATTCCTATCAAAAACACAAAGAAGATAAAAAAAAGGTGTGCAATGTTATAACTGTGAAAAGTGGGGTCATTTTATCAAGCATTGTTAGTACAGGAAAGACAAGGGATCAATAAAAGGTAAGGAAGAATGAGAGAACCTTGCACGTCAAGATTTAGATGATTATGTTGATATGATGGTTATGGATGCAATTGCAGATAACCATGTCGAATCCAAGATCTAGTTCCTCGACTCAAGTTGTTCGAATCACATGACTGGTCAAAAAATATGGTTAGTAGATTTCGACGAGTTGAAGAATAGCGAGGTAAAACTTGTAGATAATAACTCATTGCAAGTAGAAGGTAATGGCAACATAGTTTTTCAAAGGAGTGATGGAGCGAAAGCTATGATCAAAGATGTGCTCTATGTACTTGGAATGAAATGAAATCTGCTAAGTATTGGGCAACTGGTCGAAAAAGGTTTCTCAATGGTTATGAAAGACGTAGCTTTAGAATTATTTGAAACTAAGAATAACTTGGTCTTTAAATCTCCTCTGTCGAAGAACGGGACATTTTAGACCTTGATCAATTCGACTTAGGTACAATGTTTGAAAAAGTTGTCGACCATAAGAATAGTTGGTCGTGGAATTTAAGGTTTGGTCTCTTGAACTTTTGATCATTCAATCAACTAATTACTCAAGATATGGTAATTGGCATACCAAGTCTTGAGATGCCCGACAAACTCTATGAAGGTTGTCTAGTCGAAAAGCAATCCAGAAAGTCTTTCATTTCGACTATGCCAATGCGATCCTCATGCATACTCGAAGTTGTACATTCAAATGTATGTGGCCCGTTCGAAGAACATACCATTGGAGGAAACGTGTATTTCATCTCATTTATTGGTGAGTACATTCAAAAACTCTGGCAAGCGAAAGGAAGAAGTATTTGAAATCTTTAAGAGATTCAAGATACTTTTTGAAAACTAGAGTGAAAAGAATATCAAAGTTCTGCAAATAGATGAAGGTGGCTAATACACGTCTAATATGATTGAATATTTATGTGCAGAACATGGTGTAAATCATGAGGAAACTTCTCCTTATACGCCTCAACATAATGGAATTGTAGAAAGACAAAATAAAACCATATTGGATATGGAAAGATGCATGTTGAAGCAGAAGAATTTTCCAAAATATTTATCGG